TCCCAGGCTCCCTGTTGAAAGAAAGCTCTTTTTACTCTTCTAGGTTCTGGGTGCCTGCCTGGAAGGAGGCAGGAAACTGAAGTGTGTTATAGCTGGTGGGTTTGAGGACAGGCTCTCTTTCCAGGCAGACTTGTAAAGAATGATGATTTTAACTTGGGGTTTGGTGTTCAGGGATTTCAGAAGATAGCTTAGACTTCCAGGAGGTACATTTTTGGAGGAACATTGTGTTTACAGAAGGATTGGCTTTCTTGGCAAGAGAGACAAACAGTCTTGGACCCTCTTAGAGGAGACAAAGGCTGAGCATGGTGGCTAATGCCTGTAATCCCAGCACTTTGGGAGGTTGAGGCAGGAGAATTGCTTGAGCCCAGGAGTTTTGAGACCATCTTGGGCAACATATTGGGACCCTGTCAGTTCAAAAAATTTAAAAAATTAGCCAGGTATAGTGGTGCATGCCTGCAGTCCTAGTTACTCAGGAGGATCACTGGAGCCTGGAAGGTCAAGGCTGTAGTGAGCCATGATGGTACCATTGTACTCCTTCCTGGGTGGCAGGTTGAGACCTTGTTCCACTCCCCCCACAAAAAAAGATGAATGTAGAGGCCATATTTGTGCATCCTCCTATCCACCTCCCTTATCTTCTAGCTTTGTGTCATTTTATTTTAGGTCTGTTCCTCTTTTTTTAGCTTTTGAAACTTAGGATATTTAAGATAAAGAAAGTTAAATGCAATTTTAGTATATCTATCCTGGCTAATTAGATAAGCAAAATATTCTAAAATTTCCCAGGTTTTAGACTGTACTGGATATTCTCCAATTGGATAGGTCAGAATTTAAAAAATCAAAGCACATGAAAATGACAAAAAGTTAAGTCTAATATAGAAAGCATCTGAAAATAAGAGCCCAGTGACATCAGAGAATAAACAATATATTTTTACAAAGCAATTAGCCTGGAAACTCTAGGAAGAGACTCTGGGAATGGGGAGAAAGAGTGGCATTGAGAAGGTAAGGAGAGGGAGGGGCAAGAACACTTCCAAGGGACCTCTGTGGCATTATGGGATCACAGGATAAGCTGCTTTCTATGCCCGTACCCTGGCCCAAATCAAGCTAGTTTGATGTGAGCACATTTCTTACAATGTATTTCCATTTAGAGAGGTGCCGAGAAGGGCAAGCCTCTATCCAGCAATTTGAAAGTTTAGATTTCTACAAGTGACCTTTGGGATCTGGACTACTACTCAACAGTCACGAAATCCTGAAGATGAGGAGTGAAGGCTGGTCCAGCATTATGTTGGATATATTAGGATCAAAGGACTCCTGTTTACCTTTGTGACAAGACCCAACCCACATCTGCTTTCAAAAAGAAGTTTCACCTTCCGTCATCCTTCATTCAGAGTTAGACATCCCGGTAGAGCGAGGGCAGAGTAGAGGAAATGGATAGAATTTGAGGTGGCCTAGACGTATTTTATTGAATTAACAAGAGCACATTCTTTCCTATTACCAAAGGGTTAAACAAAAACGAGCTTGCTTAAGAAAAAGTACTTAGTACCCTCTTCACTGGAGAAGGAAAAGATGATGAATCCAGCCTTTCTTTGTGTTTGCACAATCACTGAAGCATGTTCTTCATGATCCTTGTGACTGTATCACTGCCCAGCTCTGCCCTTTGTCACCACCCTAACAAAATGAGAACATGGAAAGAAAATAGTGTTGTGAGGTTTTTTTGAGTCGTTTTCTCAACACAAAAAGAACTTCCCAAGTTTGAAAAGAGGGAACTTAATTCTAGCAGTTTGGGAAAGAGTTGAGGAAAAAGATGAAGAAAAAAGATGGATTAAATTAACACTTGGACAAAATAACAGAAAGTCTTAAAGTTCCAAAATTAGTCTGCAGCCTATTTTGAACAGAACTGGTATCAGGGCTGCTTTTTCCATTAGTTTAGACTCACATGTACAGAGCTGCACAATTGTGGAGGAGGCTGGCTGTCCCTGAGTGCAGCGGTCCAGCGGATAGAGAAATGGTCTTCAGAGATTCAGTCTAGCCTACTATAAAAGGCTCCCACATCTGTTTTGGAAAGGCTTTAGCATTTTTTTTCTTTAGGAGTTTGGCCAGACAAATAAGTGTTCAGAACCTGGGAGAGCACCTGGCTTTTGGGGCTCTTAGACGTGTGTGACTTCTGCGTATATTCAGTCATATTTTATATCAGTTTCCATCAGCTGTTGCTTTTTATGGATTAAAAGGAAAAAAGACACTGCCAAGAGATTTGAAGAAAAATTCTAACCTCGAGGGAAACCCTGCTCTGAAGTATTTCCCCAGTGAGGTCGTTCCTCCCCAAATCCTCATTATTTTGTTTTGAGAGAGAGCTGGAAATGTTTCTAGTAGGATCCCTGGAAAGGGAACGGGGGCAGGGGGAACCTCATTTGTATGTTATTTGGATGACCTCTAATTTCTTAAGGTGTTATGAAATCTCAGCTGATCCCTTTCCCTCCCTAAATATTCATCAGGATTCCACCATCATCTTCAGGTTTCTGTTCAGGCATCACCTAATCAGCGAGGTTTCTGTTGACCCTCTCCTTCCCCTTCCCTATTTTATTTTTCTCTCAGCACTTGGCACCATCGGACACACTGTATTTACTTGTTTGTTTACTGTTCGTCTCCCTTCACTAGAATATGGGCTTTGCTTAGCTTAGAATTCCCAGCACTGCTAGCATAGTACCTGGAATGTAATACATTCTCGATATGTACTTCTGAATATATTAATAGTCAAAAGTGCCACACATATTAAATATTGTGAGCAGAAAAAAAGCTATGGTTTCAAATACAAATCTAACATTTAAAATTACCTGGAGTAGATCTGACATCAAATTGGTCCTCTATTGACTTGCATATACTGGGGCAAGTAGCTTCAGAAATCCATTTATTCATTTTACAAATTTAATGTTGGGCTGGGCACAATGACTCATGCCTGTAATCCCAACAATTTGGGAGGCTGAGGCAGGAGGATCACTTGAGGCCAAGAGTTCAAGACCAGCCTGTACAACATAGCAAGACCCCATCTCAACAATAAAATACAAAAAATTAGCTGGGTGCCTGTAGTCCTAGCTATCTGAGAGGCCGAGGCAGAAAGATCGCTTGAGCCCAGAAGGTTGAGGTTATAGTGAGCCATGATCTCGCCACTGCACTCCAGCATGGGTAACTGAGAGAAACCCTCTCTCTCTCTCTCTCTCTCTCAAAAAAATTAATGTTAATCTAAATAACATTGGGAACTTGACTATAAATAAAGATATGAAGACTGGAGCGTGATAAAACCTTTAAGAGTTTCAAGAACTTCCCCTGTAAAATGATGGAGCTGGACAAAGACTGGATGATTTTTTTTTTTTTTTTTTTTGAGACGGCGTTTCGCTCTTGTTACCTAGGCTGGAGTGCAATGGCGCGATCTCGGCTCACCGCAGCCTCCGCCTCCTGGGTTCAGGCAATTCTCCTGCCTCAGCCTCCTGAGTAGCTGGGATTACAGGCACACGCCACCATGCTCAGCTAATTTTTGTATTTTTAGTAGAGACGGGGTTTCACTATGTTGACCAGAATGGTCTCGATCTCTTGACCTCGTGATCCACCCGCCTCGGCCTCCCAAAGTGCTGGGATTACAGGCTTGAGCCACCGCGCCCGGCCTAGACTGGATGATTTTTAAGTTTCTTTTTAATTCTAAAGAAAGAAAATGTTAGGCTTGTGTGTGTGCATGTGCCTGTGTGTGTGTGTGTGTGTGTGTGTGTGTGTGTGTTGTGTGCGTGAGGTTGCACTGCTACATTTCACCACAAGATGACAGTATCATCTTTGTTGAAACAAAGTTCAATTGCTGTATGGAGTAAATAGAAATAAATCCAGAGAGTTCATGAGGGTTACAAATTACTTTGGTAAAGATATATGTGAGACATTCATTAGTTTGGGAAAATTATGTATCAAAAAGAGTTAACTTCCTTTTGTAACACATAGGAAATAGTTTGAAACATAGGTTTTTTCCTCCCTCCCTCTTTTCCTTTCTGTTTTACACCTAGTCTTCCGCCTTCCTTTTTGTTCCTTCTTTTTCTTTCTTCCACATTCTCAGTTTATTATGTAACAAATTTCAAGTCTAACAAAGCAGAGATATACCAGAAAAGGTTAACATTTCCACTATTTTCTTTTAATTTCAATCCTCTGAAGCAACTAATTTTTTTTTTTTTTTTTTTTTTTTTAGACGGAGTTTTGCTCTTGTCACCCAGGCTGGAGTGCAATGGTGTGATCTTTGCTCACTGCAACTTCTGCCTCCCAGGTTCAAGTGATTCTCCTGGCTCAGCCTCCCGAGTAGCTGGGATTACAGGCATGCACCACCACAGCCAGCTAATTTTGTATTTTTAATAGAGATGGGGTTTTACCATGTTGGTCAGTCTGGTCTTGAACTCCTGACCTCAGGTGATCCACCCACCTTGGCTTCCCAAAGTGCTGGGATTACAGGTGTGAGCCACCACGACTGGCAGTAACTAATGTCAATAGCTTCTTTTTTCTCATTTCTTCCTGTATATTCATACATATACATACACATACAGACATACATTTCTTTTGAACTTTAATATCTGATCATCTGTTGGTAGATAAATTTAGATGGTTGAAAACTCTGTCTCTTCCTTATTGTCACAAACACCACCACCACCATTATCACCACCAACACACACACACACACACACACACACTCTCTCTCTCTCTCTCTCTCTCTCTCTCCACCTGTAATTACACCCTTGTTTCCATTTTTTTCTGTCTTGAGAAGAGAAACGCTTATGATGGGAAATTGAATACTTTAACTTATGTTATTCCTATTTGCCTTCTCTGTTCTTTATACATTATCCTTTTTCAATCTTCACCAGAATCACTTGGATTAAAACCTGTGAATTTCTCGGTAGGAAATGTTCATCTGAAGACGCTTCTGTAGTAACAGAACCTATAGCTGCTCCTGTAGAAGGAAATTGAAAGTCATCCCTTCACGAAAGGGGCCCTCCCCTTGAGATGCTACTGGGTTTTACATCCAGACTGAGCTTCCTTCCCTCACCCACATGAAGTGACTACCTTCTGCAGACTCCAGTGGCTCAGGAACTGGGGATGCAGTGCCAGGCTCGTGGTATCCTGCAGCAGATGTGGGGAGTTTTCCTTCTTTATGTTTCCATGAAGATGGGAGGTAAGTCTCATTCTAATAGCAAATGCTGCTGGGAGTTTTCAGAACAATTTTCTTTCAGCTAAATGATTGCCACTTTTGACATTTGTAACAAAAGAGTCTTTCCTGATAGATATTTTCTTTATGTGGTGCTAATTGTTATTGGATATCAAATAATATCTATTGCTGCTGCTACTTTGCTGTCATTTCTTTCTAAGAAACTCCCCTTAATGGCAGTTCTTTTGTGACCACATGGAGGCAACATTTTTAATAATGATGGGGCTTCCGGGAGCGCTGCCCTAGTAACAGTCATATGTCTTGTCATAGGCACTGTAGGGCAAAACATTGACCAGCCCACAGAGGTGACAGCTATGGAAGGAGCCACTGTCCAGATCAATTGCACATACGAGACAACTGGGTTCAACGGGCTGTCCTGGTACCAGCAACGTGATGGCAAAGCACCCACATTTCTTTCTTACAATGTTCTGGATGGTTTGGATGAGAGAGGTCATTTTTCTTCATTCTTTAATCGCTCTAAAAGGTACAGTTACCTCCTTGTGAAGGAGCTCCAGATGAAAGACTCTGCCTCTTACCTCTGTGCTGTGAGGGACATGGTGGCTATGAGGCCTCTTTAGCTGCACCAAAATTCAAGAGGCAATCAGAGCAGCGAGAAGTTATGTTTCCTGAGTGTATGTCTGCTGTAAGTTAAGACTGGGGACTTTGGAACCAGACTGCCTGGATTTGAGTTTGCTACTTTCTAGTTGGATGGTCTTCAGCCAGTCACTATATTTTTATTTCCTTATCTATAAAGTGAGAACAATGAGAGTATCTACCTCACAAGGCTGTTGTGAGTTATGATTCTCTATTTATATTAGCTATGTCAATATCTAGTGTTACTGAGAGCCGTAGTGGCACACAGTAAGCTCTATTCAAGTTTAGTTATTTCAATTCTAGTCTTGAATTTTCACTAAGTTTTGTGTGGCAGGGCCTCTGGGACTGGAACACAGTATTTCTCTCCCCTTGTTTTGTAGAAGGTGAAATCCTGACCACTATTTGTATCTTGTGGATCTAAAGCTGTAAGATGGGGTTTGTCGTTGGGGTGGATTGTTGCCCTGGAGGGATCATTTTCTTTAAGGAGATTCTGAACTTTGGAAATCCAAATGTAAATGCTTCCGAGTGAGATGTTAAGTATTCTGGATAATTATGTAAGGCTATCTTCATTATGTGCATCCTCGATAAGTAAATGTAATCTTAACATATTTTGGAGGTTTATAACTCAGGTTAGAAGTGAAGTTTAGCCGGGCGCGGTGGCTCAAGCCTGTAATCCCAGCACTTTGGGAGGCCGAGGTGGGTGGATCACGAGGTCAAGAGATCGAGACCATCCTGGTCAACATGGTGAAACCCCGTCTCTACTAAAAATACAAAAAACTAGCTGGGCATGGTGGCTCGTGCCTGTAATCCCAGCTACTTAGGAGGCTGAGGCAGGAGAATTGCCTGAGCCCAGGAGGCGGAGGTTGCGGTGAGCCGAGATCGCGCCATTGCACTCCAGCCTGGGTAACAAGAGCGAAACTCCGTCTCAAAAAAAAAAAAAAAAAAAAAAAGAAGTGAAGTTTAGGGGCTTTAGACTTGGGGAGCATGAACATAATCAGGGGAGTCAATAGAGGATGGCAAAGAAGAGTGAACATAGCAATTTGGTGGCAAATCTGGGTAAGGCAGGAGAGCCAGCAGGGGATTTCTATGGCAAGAGGTAGTCAATAGGCATTAATCACAATACAGACCTACAGTAAATGTTAAGATTTTCCTTTCTTGCTTTAAAATTTCCTTATGTTCTCTTCCAATTTTTTTAATGAAATCTGTTAAATGCTACAGCCGGCTGTCAGCTGTGTTTAGAGAGTACATGATTGTTGTGTGGCTGCCTCCACATGAGAAAAAGTTGACCAGAGAGCAGATGCTCAGATTATAGGTTATTGGGACATCGAAAGTGAGGGCTGCTCCAAGTTAACACAGGTTTATGATGAGTCATGTGTTACATATATATATATATATGTGTGTGTATATATATATGTATATATATATGTGTATATATATATGTGTATATATATATGTGTATATATATATATATGTATTTTAAATCAAGGATTAAACAAAATTCTCTTCAGGTGAGGTAGGAGTGCTTTTTCATTCTAAATTACAAAATGAACATTTGAGATGGAATTTGAACAGACATAGTCATGTTTGAAAGCAATCTTGACAGTATGAATCCAGGCCTCTAAAACGTTCATGTTCCTTTTGTCTGATGATTCATTTGTTTTGAACTCTCATTTAAATAAATATAGGCTAGAAATCAGGTTTTTTTTTTTTTTTTTTTTTTTTTTTTTCCCAGTTTACAAGGAAACCTAAGAAACCATAGAAATGAGATTTAAGGGCTTTGGACTTGGTGAGTATAAATTGTTCATACAGTGGCTTTATTAATTAGGGAAAACAATATTATGCAAATAATATTATGAATGCTATGATCAATGGAATATTATAAAGTTGTCTTAGTTTCTATTGCTGCATAACAAATCACCACAATACTGATATATTAGTTTATGGTTCTGTAGGTCATAAGTCCAAGTAAGTTCATCTGAGTTCTATGCTTGGGTCATAACCACAGTAAAGTCAAGGCATTGGTTGGGTGAGTACTCAAGTGGAGTTCAGAGTCCTCTTCCAAGTTAATTCATTAGATTAATTAAAAAATTTTTTTTTTTTTTTTTGAGACGGAGTTTCGCTCTTGTTACCCAGGCTGGAATGCAATGGTGCGATCTCGGCTCACCGCAACCTCTGCCTCCTGGGTTCAGGCAATTCTCCTGCCTCAGCCTCCTGAGTAGCTGGGATTACAGGCACGTGCCACCATGCCCAGCTAGTTTTTTGTATTTTTAGTAGAGACGGGGTTTCACCATGTTGACCAGGATGGTCTCGATCTCTTGACCTCGTGATCCACCCGCTTCGGCCTCCCAAAGTGCTGGGATTACAGGGGTGAGCCACCGCGCCTGGCCTAGATTAATTAAAATTTTTAATAATTTTTTTAAAATTTAGAGACAAGGTGTTTCTCTGCTGCCCAGGCTAGAGGGAAGTGACATGATCATAAGGTCACTGTGAGATCAAACTCCTGGGCTCAGGCAATTTTCTCACCTCAGTCTACCAAGTAGCCCGGGCCATAGGCACACACCACCATACCCGACTAATTAATTTTTTTTTTTTTTTTTTTTTGTAGAGACAGGGTTCTGCTACGTTGCCTAGGCTGGTTTTGAACTCTTGAGCTCAAGCTTGCCTAGGCTGGTTTTGAACTCTTGAGCTCAAGCAATCCTCTGACCTTAGCTCCCTGAGTTGAGGTTACAGGTGATTTATTTATTTATTTATTTCTGAGAGATGGAGTCTTGCTCTGTTGCCGAGGCTGGAGTGCAGTGGTACGATCTTGGCTCACTGCAACCTCTGCCTCCTGGGTTCAAGCAATTCTCATGCCTCAGCCTCCCGAGTAGGTGGGATCACAGGCGCCTGCCATCATGCCTGGCTAATTTTTCTATTTTTAGTAGAGACGAGGTTTCATCTTGATGACCAGACTGGTCTCAAACTCCTGACCTCAAGTGAGCCGCTAGCCTTGGCCTTCCACAGTGCTGAGATTACTGGTGTGAGCCACCATGCCCAGCCAGTTCTTATTATCATCAGAATTCCAGTCCATGCAGATGTGGGACTGAAGTTCCCATATTCTTAATGTTTTGGGGCTGGGGGCATTTCTGAGCTCCTTAAGGCAATCTGCATTCCTTCTTATGTGATTCCCACCATCCTCAAACCAGCAGTCACATGTCAAGTTCTTCTCATGCTTGGAATCTTTCTGGCTTCATCTTCCAGAGAAAGTTCATGTGTTTTTAAGGTCTCATGTTATCAGGCACATAGCTATCTCCCTTTAAAAAAGTCAACTGTTGGCTGAACACAGTGATTCACACCTGTAATCCTAGCTGTTTGGGAGGCAGAGTTGGGTGGATCACTTGAGGTCAGGAGTTCAAAACCAGCCTGGCCAACATAGTGAAACATTTTCTCTACTAAAAATGCAAAAAAATTTAGCCAGATGTAGTGATGGGTGCCTGTAATTTAGCCAGATGTAGTGATGGGTGCCACTAGGGAGGCTGAGGCAGGAGAATTGCTTGAATCCAGGAGGCTGAGGTTGCAGTAAGCCAAGATCGTGCCACTGCACTCCAGCCTGGGCAAGGGAGCAAGACTCTGTCTCAAGAAATAAAATAAAATAAAATACAAAATGTCAACTGTGCCATGGAACCCAACAAAATCGCCAGAGTAATATTGCATTACATTCAAGATTCTGGGGATTAGGGCAGGGAATCTTGGGTCTATTCATTGAAATTTTATCTACCACATAGCAAATAAAGGATGTTCATTAAGACTGTATAAAAATGCTGAACTGCTTATGATACAATAATGAATAAGGAAAACCCGGGTGAATAATTGAATATACAGAATAATCACAGCTGTGTAAAAACTTTTAGGCACACAAAAAACACAGAAAGGAATTACAATACTCCCTTTACTGCATTTCCCTTACTTAGAGTCTAGTATGGGTAGATTTTCTTCTCTCTCTCCCTTTTTAGTCTTTTGACTGGGTTTGGAGGGTGTACTTTTTTTTTTTTGAGACGGAGTTTCCCTCTTGTTACCCAGGCTGGAGTGCAATGGCGCGATCTCGGCTCACCGCAACCTCCGTCTCCTGGGTTCAGGCAATTCTCCTGCTTCAGCGTCCTGAGTAGCTGGGATTACAGGCACGCGCCACCATGCCCAGCTAACTTTTTGTATTTTTAGTAGAGACGGGGTTTCACCATGTTGACCAGGATCGTCTCGATCTCTTGACCTCGTGATACACCTGCCTCAGCCTCCCAAAGTGCTGGGATTACAGGCTTGAGCCACTGCGCCCGTCTGGAGGGTGTACTTCTAAGAGGGCTTGCTCACATAGCTGTTGGCAAGAGGCCCCAGATTTTTATCACATGGCTTTCTTTCTTTCTTTCTTTCTTTTTTTTTTTGAGACGGAGTTTCGCTCTTGTTACCCAGGCTGGAGTGCAATGGCGCGATCTCGGCTCACCGCAACCTCCGCCTCCTGGGTTCAGGCAATTCTTCTGTCTCAGCCTCCTGAGTAGCTGGGATTACAGGCACGCGCCACCATGCCCAGCTAGTGTTTTGTAATTTTAGTAGAGACAGAGTTTCACCATATTGACCAGGATGGTCTCGATCTCTTGACCTCGTGATCCACCCGCCTCGGCCTCCCAAAGTGCTGAGATTACAGGCTTGAGCCACCGCACCCGGCCTTCACATGGCTTTCTTTATAGTGTATGAAGAGAGTGAGAGAAAGAGAGAGAGAGAAAGAGAGAGAGAGAGAGAGAGAGAGAGAGAGAGAGAGAGAGAAACTATCTTTTATAACTAGACTCAGAAGTGTTAGACCATCACTTCTGCTGTTTTGTTTTTTTACTCCCAGCTTCTAATATTTTTCTCCTTTTACACATAACAAAGTAGAAGATATAATACAGGATTCAAACTGCAAAGGTAATCAATAGAACATGTATACACACACACAAAAGTCCTGATAAGAAGTAAG